CATTTCTTTCAGACCTTTAGTCAACAAATCCGCTGTAAACACAACAGATGTCATGAAGGTGCAGCTTTAATTTAATAGAGATGAGCAGTCGCTAAAAACCAGCTCACTCACAAAACATTATTTCATATATTTCGTCATTTTCATCATAACTTCATTACACAGTTAATTTGGATTCAGATGTGACTAGAAGTAGTGATCTCCAAGTGGGTAAGTGCAATTTAGCAGCAGGCCTATCTGTTTTCACCAGACTGACCTATTTAGTCCGATTTTGATTAAATTTGGACAGGTTGTGAACATGGAGGACATTTATTGATTCCTCTCACATGATTTTTTATCTGTATTTTGTCATTTCGCCCTCAGATTCACACCATGTTTTCTTTTTGCCTTCTTGACAAGCCCTGACATTTGTGCTTTTTTAAGGTAGTTGAATAAAAATGTTTAATGTATTCACAAATGGTGCTGCAATAACATTTTAGCAACATGTATGTACTTGTTTGCATTTTTTTGTGAGAAAATCGAGTATATGCATGTTTAGCAGAAATAATAAATAAATAAATAAATATTACTGTAAATTAAAATTAAAGCAAGCATGGCAAAAAAGCAATTTGCTTTAGTCTATTTAAAAATGCAATAAACAAGAAATAAATACTATGCGAATCAAAATATGTACATATGTAAGAAAATACATTGTTAATGAAATAAATCTGCATTTTGAATTAATTGGTTGTATGATTCAATAACAGCAGTCAATTGTTTTGTTGCTAAATGCATCAGTATTTTGAACAAAAAGGTTGATTCAGTGGAATTAATGATTCAGTGAGTCGCTTGCTGTCACATAGTCCACGTGTTCAAAAAAGAACACATTTGCTTAGTTAGGGCACATTGCATGTCTTGTGGTAAACAATTAATCCATGCAAGTTAATCCACAGAAAAAGAAAAAAATCTTCATAATCTTTAGTCGAAATGTGAAAATGTAATCACTCCCCTCCAACCATCAGTGTGCTGTAAGCTAGAGATGGCAAGGAGGTGCTCTAAAATCAAGCCCCACTCTCTATGCAATATTCCGTTCCACTCAGTAATGTTTAAAAACTGAAGTAAAGCCGGTCGTAACTTCCGGTTCACACAGACTTCAAATGTGATATTCTTTAAACAACATTTTCTCATAAACGGCCATCATTTAAGCCACTGTGGTTCTTCCTCTACAGTCTGCACTCCAAGCAAATAAAACGTCAGCGACTCAAGTTCTCAGAATAAACCCAATAAGCTTCTCGCTACAAACAGCCCCACTGACAGCTGATTTCATATTTGGCACAGTGCGAGTGGGTTAAAAGAAAAGCCTCGACTTGTTTTGCATCTCATTTATGACACATTGAGGTTTCATCATCCACGCATGATGTTGCAGTGTTTTTTCCTCCCTTTAAGTGTGGAAGCGACGGCGGAGAATGCACAAATATCAAAATAGAATATTTAGACGTTACGTAACCTTCTACAGATTTAAACCCACAAATGAAGGTTTCCTCTGGCTTGGAGTTAGATGGATGAAGTTGTGGCCCATGTGCAGCTCCAGAGCCTTCCGTACGCCCCTTTAATGTGCTGCCAGGGCAATAATACTGAGGCAGAATGAACTTCGAGCGTGTCACACAAGCCCCGCTTTTATCATTTCAAATTACCTTCGGGTTTGAATACACTGAATGTCTGTGAGCTCAAGAGCAAGAAAAGGGAGCAGGGTATCTGAGTGACAGAGAAAATATTTCATATACAAAACAATATTATTAATAAGCCATAATCAAAGAGTGAATCGCATGGTGCATTAGTCAGTATGCAGTAAAGAAACTCTACTTCATTGGCCCTTTTATACATTTTCCCAGCTATTTATAATCAATGCTAGATGGCCTGCAGCTCCATTTCTTCATAGCTTTTTTTATATTTTAACAGTTTTAAAATTTTAGTAAGGTCACATTCGGTCAACATTGCTTGACGACTCTAAAATAACCATGGTTGGGGAAGTATTGTGTGCATATATATAGATTGTTTGGATCTTGCAGCTCTCACTTCATTTCCCATATTTCTCAGCACAAGCATTTATCATGTCTTCGCACGTCGCAAGTGTCATCATTCCAGACGGCATCTTTCCTTCTAGTAAATGATGACTGTTGGCAGCCGACAAGGGCATTCTCTAAGTTAACTTAATACGGTTTCAAGGAAATTGCTGGTTTGACAATGCAAGCAGCAGGTGTTTCTTTAAATCTTTTTGAGAAACCACTTACAGTGGGTACGGAAAGTATTCAGACCCCCTTAAATTTTTCACTCTTTGTTATATTGCAGCCATTTGCTAAAATCATTTAAGTTACTTTTTTTTCCTCATTAATGTACACACAGCACCCCATATTGACAGAAAAACACAGAATTGTTGACATTTTTGCAAATTTATTAAAAAAGAAAAACTGAAAAATGCTCAGTATTTAGTAGAAGCACCCATTTGATCTAATACAGTGTACATTAATGAGGAAAAAAAAGTAACTTAAATGATTTTAGCAAATGGCTGCAATATAACAAAGAGTGAAAAATTTAAGGGGGTCTGAATACTTTCCGTACCCACTGTATGTGCCTATACAATCTCACTCTATAAGGGGTGATGATGAGACTATCGCTTCATAATTGAGTGCTAACTACGGACACCATTATAAACGGATATTGTTCCTGACCTCATTCACACTCATTTTGAAACTCATTATATTGATATTGTGGACAAATGTGAAGTTTGTTCAAATATGAGAAAACTAAGATCAAATTCTAAAAGGGAAAATACTGTTTTATTAATACGAGAATCACGGGTGAGCATGTATGTTTAGAAAGTTTGTTTTCACTAAAAATATTTAATTACATAATTTCACACACACACACACACACACACACACACACACACATTAAAATGACTTTTTCAAAGACAGTTACTCATGTTATTGGGAGAAATTCACTGAAGAGACTGGCTTTATGCCATGTGAGGCTAATTGGCCTTGGGTTTGTTTAAGGCATTGTGATTAATGAAGTTTCTAATGAGAGCTTTATGATGAAGGCAGCAATCTGTCAGCCTATGACTAGAGCTCTCAACAGGGATAGAATGAACAGTTAAGAGGTGATTTGAAGAAGGGAATTCTCCTGACACAAAAACACAATTTTTAAACAAAAGCTTTCTTAAAAAGCTGCCACCATCCAATTTGTAGCGCTCCCGCTAATAGCCAAAAAGTCTGAAATTTCATTAAAGGAATCTGTGGCTTATTATCAGATTTGGTGGCTGAATGAAAGATGTTTTATGGCACCAGTGATTCCCTTTACACACAAAACACTTGAAGGAAATAAAAAATAATTATAAAAATATATATACACACACACACACACACACAGTGGTGTGAAAATTTTTCCTGTTTTTTTAGTGTTTTGCATATTTGTCACACTTGAATGATTCAGATAATCAAACTAATTTTTATATTACACAAAGATAACCAGGGTAAATACAAAATGCAGTTTTAAAATAATGATTTCATTTATTAAGGGAAAAAAGCTGTGTCACGAATCCGGTCCGTGGCCTTCCGGCCGATTGCCACTAGAGGTCATTCTACCATTACATTGACTCTCACACTACACAGACTGTTACATGTCACCCCGGACTACAGTTCCCATCATCCATTGCACTGATTACACACACACAGCTGAATGCACTGATTACACACGCTGAATCCAATCAGACATGCTACATAAGCCATGGACTTCCTCTCTCTAACCAGGAAATTAACGTTCTTAGAATTGACAGACAGTTGACCCTGAGAGGTCAAGTAAATACTTACAGTGGATCTAAATATTTATAATTAATTATAACTAGTTATGATTAATTATTCATATTTCCCCTTTGAGCTGATTCGCTACATACATAAGCCATGGCACTCCCCAAGTGTTAGTTGCTTTACAGAGCCATTCCGTGTTTCTGTTTAGTCTCTAGTTTTGTTTCGCGTTTATCTCTCCTCTAGCGATAGCTACATTACTGAGCCATTCCTTTTCCCATTTTTAGTTTTAGTCTGGTCTAGTCTTTCCGTGTTGCCTTGTTGTCTGTTTCCTGACCTTCTGCCTGTGTTTATTGGATTACCCCTCTTGTCAAGCCCTCTGGATACTGTTCGCTGATCGTAGACCCACGCTAACCCAAGGAATATTCTTTGTCTTGCCTGTGCCATACCTGTTTGCTGTTGTTTGACCCTGCCTGTGTTTGACCACTTCTCTTGTGAATAAAAGCTTGCACATGGATCCGCACGCCTCTCGCCTCGTCAACCCCGTTACAAGCTGTCCAAACCTGCCTGGCACTACGTGAAAAAGTAATTGCCCCTAAATCTAATAACTGGTTGTGCCACACTTGGCAGCAACAACTGCAATCAAGCGTTTGCGTTAAAGGCACAATATGCAATTTTTTGCCACTAGAGGGCGCGTATTCAAAACAAACAAAGGCGTAGTTAGATGACGCCGTGACTGAGGGTGGAATCATGGGAGTTGTCGTCTTCATCCCCACAGCCGAAGCAATCCGATGGGACTCGGGCAGAAATCATGTTCATGGATGAGCTAATGTATTAAAGATTTATTAACATCGTAGTATGAAGCAGAGTGAGGCGGAAAGCCGTCGAAGCAAAACGAGGGCGCTGAACGAGCGCGACACACGGCTCGAAAAGAGGGGGCAATTTTTCACATAGGGCCAGGTACTGTAGGTTTGGACAGCTTTTTTCACTTAATAAATGAAATCATCATTTAAAAACTGCATTTTGTATTTACTTGCATTATCTTTGTGTAATATTAAAATTAGTTTGATGATCTGGATCTTTTAAGTGTAACAAATATGCAAAAAAAATTAAAAACAGGTAGGGGGCAAAAACGGCACTGTGTATATGAACAAAACATACTGTATATATGAACAAAATACACAGCAAACACAATAAATCATTGAACATAAGGTAACTTACTGAAATAGTAATCACCAAACAGATCTTCATCCTCGTCATCAAAGTATGCTTGTAATGAAAAATGAAATCAAAATAAAAGGTAAGCAAATTATAAAAACAACAAATGTAGTGAACACAAACACACACGAGAATAAACTAAAATATAAAAGACCTTGAAAATCAAAGTAAAAATATACAGAAATCCCAGCTGTTGTTTTTCTTTCCTGAACAATCTGACGCTGTGAGATCAATGCTCATAAACACCCCGCATCCCCAAGTCTTGAGTGTTATTTCTGGGGAATGTTAAGGATGTCCATATTGAGGTAACATTTGAAGAGCCAAGCATATTGCTTTGGATTTAACTCAGTTCAGTGTGCTTCTGTGCAAACAAAGCATCTGTTGACTGTGCCAGAAACATAATTTATGCAACAACAACAAAAAGGAAATGTATGTGTAGACTAAAGCATGGTAGCACAGAAATTGTAATTACTGTGTCTCTAAGCAACCTGACGAATGCAACATGCAAACAGAACAGATCAACAGAGCATTGCATCACCAGCCCATATCATTTACTCAGTCTTTTATTGCATGACCTGCTATTCATTTTTCTTTCTGTAACTGGCTTTTGACAAAGCCCATTCAATTTTTAAGTCTTTCCACGTCAACAATCAACAAATGTTGACCTTAATAAACAACAGAAATTAGTTAATGGAATTTCCTTATTTCATGATAATTCTCTGAATACTTTTAGCATGTTAATATGCATGACAGTGTTTTTATGTATTTGGACTTGGCGGATTAGATCATGGCTGCTGCTTCAGAGCAAGTATGGACTTGTTTCTGCCAATAGATTCACTGACATGTTGCTGTGAGCATATATATATATATATATATATATATACTGTTAATTCAATAGCAGATCTAGACAGGTGGAGCTGGGGGAGGTGGAGGGTTTAATCTATCTAAGAAAGTTTCATGACTGAACTAGATATTAAATCAAATAACAAATCATAATGGTTCATAACAAAAAATTAATGTATTGGGTTCCAGCACTGGAATTTGCCTACTTCCCCAACTACACAGCATGCCAAAAGCAGTATGGCAAAAGAGGATGTTCAGACACAGCTTCTGTTTCACAATAGGCATATACAGTATGACTGTCACCTTGGATAGACTGATCATTTTGCAAACCATGATTTATTTTATTAAATATTAATTTATTTAGTGCTGTCAAACGATTAATCGCGATTAATCACATTCAAAATAAAAGTGTTCATTTACATAATATATGTATGTGTACTGTTTATTTATTATGTATATATAAATACACACACATTCAGTATATATTTTGAAAATATTTACATGTATATACATTTTATATTCTATATAAATATATTTAATATATTAACATAACATATTTTTCTTAAATATATACATGCATGTGTTTGTATTTATATATACATAATAAATATACACACTACACACTCTGTATTATGTAAACAAAAACTTTTATTTTGGATGCGATTAATCGCGATTAATCGTTTGACAGCACTAATTTATATTAGAAAAATTAATCTATAAAATATTATTAATATTAATTTGTACAGTTTTTTTTTTTTTTTTACTTTTGAATGCCAATGACTCTCAAATATGATTAATCCTTTGCAAGAAACCTGTTACTAAAATAATTAATAAATAATGAATAAAGGCAGTATTATATTGTCATGTACAAGCAACCATTTACTATATATTGTGTGAGAAAAAAATATTAAATGTAGTATTATAAAGACTAAATTAAATAATTATTTTATTTTATCTTAATATTATATAATATAAGTGTTTAAATATTTCCATTGGAAAGCAAATAGTTTAAATATTATGTGGAAAATATTTAATTCATATTTAATAATTACTTTAGAAAAGCTCACTTTTCTTTGTTTTATTTATTTATTCATTTATTTTTGGCACAAAACTACTTTATATGCAGATATACAGGTGCTGTTAATATGCAATTAATGCAATCAATATAATTCTTCAGAAAGCAGACTGAAATACAAATACCAAAATAATTTTGTTGTCATTCATTTCCAAGTTTATTAAAAAACTGTTTACACCTTTTACATGTTTCAGGCACAGGGAATGTACTCAGGCGTTAGTATCATCAGCTTTTGCTGCAGTTGTTGAGACTGTGCAGCAAGCTGGAACTAAGAAACTTCCCTCTACAAAGCGAATGCTTTGAGGTGACAAAAGCGAGAACAGATTAAACCACAGTAACGTGCTCCGTACAATGACTCAGATGCGGACAACACCTCTGAACACTGTCCCTTTATTACCACTTCTCACACCGTGGGTTCTTCTTGTGCAAAGGACAAGGGCAGACCCCATTAAGTGGCAAATTGCCGTCTCACAGCTTAATCAGGCAGCATCAGCATTCTGTAGGGAACATATGAAAAGCCATTATGGTCAAATCAATTCTCAATTACCTCTTTGCCGCCACCATCGACACGTTAAATAAACGTTCAGCGCTGTCACAGCTATTTCTCCTTGTGAGGTGACGATGGAATAGCTGTGCACGCGCTATTTGAGAGCCATGCGAATGCTAATGGATTGTAAACAATCATGAAATAAGAGCATGATGTGAAAGTGGGACAGATAAGCATCGGAAGGAACAAGCAGCATTAAGAGATTCATTAGAAGCGGTCACACTCGCACCAGAATAACGGCTCGCTGGACGTATGTCATAATGTGCCACGCACATGCACAGAAACACACGCACATTATTATACACAGATGCTAGCATAAATATACAAGAGAACATTCTTTTAGCCACCAGCAAAAATTAGAGCACTCAAAGCAAATGTGAAAACAAATGAGAGAATTAAGAAATTAGCTTTTTTGCATAATCGGCCTACTGTACATTTGTGCTTTGAATGTTTTAAATATTTGAGGAGGACATGTCCTCGTTCCACAACATACCACATGCTTCTTATATTTCTGTCTTTTTCACTTCACCTTCTTGTGTATTTGAAATTGCATCTTATTTAGAAGTTGATGTGATAAAATAAGGATTTTTTTTTTCATTTTAATTAATTACTGCTTGCCTTCGCCAAGACCCGCCCCCCTTCATTATTGTTGCTATGTCTGACAAGCCACACATCACGCTACACATCGTGTTCTCAAGCTGTTAAAAATATACCGTGGAGCAAAGAGTAAACTGACAACACGATGACAGACAAGACCGAGCAGGTTACTTTAGCTATGAAACAAAGTCTCATCTTTCCATTTTTCATTTCAGCTTTTCATTTAAGAAATTCAAACAATAAATACCGTTTTGTGGCTCTTTAATGTGTCGTGACAGATTGCTGTAGCTCCTCAGTTCAAGCGGCACGTGAAACAATCATCTCTTCCTCTTTACTAGTTATAGTGTGAAATAAACATGAAGGAACATCAGAAGATATCTTGTTTCACCTGCAAAAAGACAACAGTACACACTATTTTTCAAGATCAAGTCCACCAATATTAATCTACTCTCCAGTCTGGTTTGTTTGGCAGACAAAAATGGCAGATTCTGCGTTACGATTGGTCATATTGCCTGTCAATCAAATTCCCTGTGAAGGGTCCATTACTTGTTACGAGACGAGAGACATGCAAATCCATATGCAAGGCTTTATTAAAGGGTGTGGTCATGAAACAGGCATGGGTCAGACAATGGCAAACAGGTATATCGAAGGCAAGGCAAGAGATAAATCCAGGTAGAAGGCAAAGGTCCAGGCAGGGGCAAACAGAGTCAGAAACAGCAAGCAAAGGGTTAATCCAAGATACGTGGCGTGAATCAGAGACCAGGAAAACAGACAAGGCAAGACTAAGACTAGACTAAGAAAACTATGAAAACTTAAACAGGCTCGGTAAGGTAGCTATCCACTAAACAGGGATAAACGCAAAACAATACACGAGACTAAAACAGAAAACACGGAATGGCTCGGTAAGGCAGCTAACACTTGGGGAGTGAAAAATGCAGAACAATACTCGGCGACTAGAGCAGGATCAGGGTAGGTGTTATATAGTGTGTGTAATAGCATTCAGGTGAGCGTGTAATTGGTCTCAGGTGTGAGTGTAATCAGTGCAATGGAACATGGGAAATGTAGTCCAGGGTGATGCGTAACAGTCTGTGTGGTGCGAGAGTCAATATCATGGAAGGCCGACCTCTGGTGGCAAGTGGATGGAAATTCTTGGATCGGATTCGTGACATTACTATCTATGAAGGATGGTAACGTAACATATTGGTGGGTGCTATCCACACAGAATGAGTTGATGCAGGCAGGGGAATGGGAAAAAACAAGGTTGTGAGACACAAGTTGAACTTCTTTTAACTTGTGTGCCACGTTTTTAGAATGGCGTTTCATGAACGAGACACTGCAAGTCAACCGCATTAGTCAAACATGTCTATATTTACATAGAAAAACAATGGAAAAGCTGCGCAGTGAAATGCAAAAGCCTGTAAGGAACTACTTCTCTAAAGGCCCATTCACACCAGGAAAGATAACTATAAAGATAACGATAAAGATAAAGATATAGTTGCAAAAATCGTTCTCAATATTAAAGAATAGCAGAGTCCACACCACAAGTATAACGATAAAGGCACTGAGAAACAATATTGTTGGAATCACTTTCAGAATGATTTTTTTCCATCTGATGAACGATAAAAAATATTGATAGCCATCATAATCAATCAATCCTGCTGACACGAGCTCGAGAATTTAAAGAGGTAGACGAGCATGCGCTGAGAATAAACAGATGATATCGTCCGCTGGTGTGGACGCTAATATATCTTTAGATATTATTATCTTTAATATCTTTATCAATATCTTTATAGTTATCGTTCCTAGTGGTATCGGCGTTTGGTATCGGGGCATTTGAACGAGTACGAGTACGAGTACAGGAGGCCAGTATCGGGCCCGATACCGATACCAGTATCGGTATCGGTGCATCCCTAACTAAATGGTTAATAAATAAACTTGAATCATGTTGAAGTTGCATTCTTAAGACTAGATAAAAAATGAAGGAAGAAA